CCTAACTAATCTTGAGTAGTAAAAATCACTGAGTACTAGGTGAGACACGTGTAGGTAAATGCAGTGTATTAAAGGCAGATTACAAGAGGTTCAGAAATCGAACGCGCGTTTCGGCTTTTTGGGCCTTCATCGGCGTTTCCGAATCCTACTAAACTTGCCCTCTACCTAACATCCACTACTTGTACCTAGCAGTTCCGTGTCTCGTAAGAAACCTAGCACAAAGATTCAGACATTGCACACAACATTGCTTGGCGCCTCGTCTGTCTTGATGGGTCGCGCTTCGTCCGTCTTGATGGGTCGCGCTTCCAAACAGTAAAGCTGGCAAGTAAGTTCCGTCTTGTCATGCAGCGGTTACCCACCTGGCAGAGAAATTGAATCACATTGCTACCTTGAGGAGAATCTCGCTTTAACCAAAAAGTTCTGTAACTTTTTTGGTAACTTCCAAGCGAGTAAAAAACGAGGAAAAGGGAGATCATATGATACGAGCTGGTTTTTGAGAATTCTCAAAAACTGCCCCATGCCCATGCCCAACGTGCGTGGACAGCGTCTGATTTTAAGAGCAAGGGGCGCTCCCATCCTCTCCAACTGCTTGTTTTTTGAACAAGAGTGGTTTTTGAGCAGTGAAGCTCTTTGTCCATGTTTGATCTTCTCAAACAGAGGGATAAGAAACTTCTGGGGATAACCTCTAGCCTTCAGCCGTTTGAAGAAGGCCACTTTCCTTTCCAAATAGGAGTGGAAAGAGGAGGACCTTAAGCAATACCTTTTCAGCTCACTCGAGATGAAACCTTTCTTACATTCCTTTGAATGAAAGGAGGAGTAAGGCAGGTAGAGATACTGGTTATGGGGCTTTTGATAAGTCCTCACATCTAGAATGTTACTGACTTTGAACCTCTCTCCTTTGTAAAGAGTGAGGTCAAGAAAATCAAGTGAATTTTCACTGATTTCCCAAGTCAGTTTGATAGTGTGATGAAGAGTATTGAAAATCTCCAAGTATTGTTGGAGACTCTCTTTACCCCTAACCCACAAAATCAAGCCATCATCAATATACCTCAAATGTACCAGAGGCCTATGGGGAGCTCTTCTATCCACCTCCTCGTCCAGCCAACTCATAAACAGGGTGGCGAAGACGGGGGCAACAGGAGTCCCCATGGCTGTACCTTGTACCTGTTGGTAAACTACTCCATCAAACTGTACAAATGAATGAAACATCACCCATCTAAGAAGTCTAACAATAAGAGGCCGTAATGGATGATTCTCTCTGAAAAGAAAACGATCCACTGCTTCAATCCCTTGAGGTAATGGAATGGAGGGATATAAACTCTGCACATCATATGTACAAATGAAGATGTCCTGAGGTAGAACCATATCTTCAATCTTCATGAGAAGAGACAAGCTATCCTTCAGGTATGTCCTCCGTTTTTCCAGTAACGGTCGCAGCTGCGAGTCTAACCACTTGGATGCTGTAGTGGTCACCCAGGAATGAGATGCTGCAATTGGTCTACCCACCGGTACTCTCTTATGCATCTTCATCAGTATGTAAAAGAAAGCTGGTTTCCATCCTCCCACCGGTGGAGACACTAGATATTCCCATGTTCTCTTGGATAAGCAAGGAGAGAACTCGTGCTTAACCAAAGAAAACTTTGACAAAATTTCTGTCATGGGAATCCCCTTCACTTCACGGTAAGTCGACGTGTCCTGTAGCTGTCTAAGACACTCAGCTCTGTAGTCTGTAGCATCCATGATGGTAATGCCAACATTTTTGTCTGCTGCTTTTATCACAATGGATGAGTCTGCTGTCAACCCTTTCAAGGCTTGTCTCAATTTGAAAGGCAAGTTTGACAGTCTCTTGGGCTGTACTTCAAGCAGAATCTGTTGAAGACCCCCTCTGTTTCTGTCCATCACCTCCTCCAGCCTCACATTACGCTGCTGCTGTGGAACATCCCACGAGGAGTTGGGAATTCTAAACGTTTTTCGCTCAGCTGTATCTTCCCCAAAGAAATTCTTCAACCGTAATCGCCGGCAGAATCGGTCAAACTCCTGTACCATCTCTTGATCCGAGGTAAACTGTCTCCTACTCGGGACCGGGACAAAATTAAGTCCCAAGCTCAACACCTTTTCTTCTTCAGGTGTCAGCTTCCGTGAGCTCAGATTGAAAATGCGCTTATTGGAAACACGTCTTCTCAGTTGTGACTCTGTCATTTGCCCAAAGTAATAAAGGGCTAAGTCACGGTCACTTAGCGCACTTAACCTCTCCCCCATGGGTTGCCTCTTCCTCGGAATCTTCCGCCTCCTCCTCCTCTTTCTCTTCCCCTGCCCCTCCCCCTCCCCATTCCCCTTCCCCAGTCGTTTTTTGGACCAAAAGAGTTTTCGAATGGCTGCTGCTGCTGCCAAGAATTGAAGGGTTGGGAAGAAGGGCCCGCTTGTGAATCCCAATGATTTGGTTCCCACTGCTGGTTCCAGTTAGAAGGGTTGGAGTAAGGAGTATGCCTTGGCTGGTATGTCCTCTGCCCTGGCTGTTGGCGGTTCTGCTGCCCTGTTGAATTCTTGTGCTGCTGCTGCTGCTGCTGCTGCTGCTGCTGCTGCCTCTGCTGCTGCTGCTGCTGCTGCTGCTGCTGCTGCCTCTGCTGCTGCTGCTGCTGCTGCTGCTGTTGCTGAGGCTGCTGCTGTTGCTTCTACTGCTGTTGCGGTTGCTGCTGTGACTGTTTCTGTGTCTGCTGCTTCTGTTGCAACGCCTTAGAGCCTTCACCTTTGATGGCAGAGACTTCCTTCTCAATCGCTTCTAGCCTTTTTATGGTAGTCTTATTAAGAATCTCCATAACAGTAGGCTCTGTCTCCATCTCTTCTGCTACTTGCTTTGCAGTCTGCTTCCTCTGAATCTCCCGCTGCGCTGTCTCCTGAAGCTTGGCAAAAGAGAAGGTCTCTTCGACAGTGATGGTTTTTATCTCTTTCTCAAATTGAGTCAGAAGCTGCTGCTCCCACTCCTTGAAACTATCCTTAAAAACCGCTGCCGGACCCATCTCCCCCGTCTTCTGCAATTTCAGGCGGAAATCTTCCAGCGCTCGGTCAATGCTTTGAGAGAGCTTCACAAGTTCTGTCTCCTGCAGCTGGATCAGCTTCTCAAAACATTTCGTGTGATACGCCTTCTCCAACTCTCTAAAGTCAGCATCTCCTTCCAGCTTCAGTTCTGCATCGGCAGTATTATATGTCATTGGAGCAGACTTGAAGCTTCTAGGGAGTTTCCCTTCAGCAAACTTTGCCTTCAGCTTCGTAATCTTGAATGACAGTTTCAGCTTCCTGATGACAGCTTCTCTATAAAGCTTGCTGCATGTCTGAAGCTGTTGCAGAAAAACATCTGGAATTTTCTCTTGACCGCCAAAGGATATTCCAGAAGAGCTTCCAGCACTAGATCCTGTTGCCAGATTCGGATGTGCTGTCATGTAAGTCTTTAACGCAGAAGCTAACAGCCCAACTATCTCTGTCGCGGAGGATTGTGGATCTCCAGCAGTTGCGGAGTTGGACTGTTGAAACGCTAGATGCGCGGATAGTGTTGCTTGAGCCATAGCCTGCGCCTGTGCTTGAGCCTGAGCCTGAGCCTGCGCCTGAGTCTGCGCCTGAGCCTGCGCATGCGCTTGCGCCTGCGCGTGAGCCTGAGCCTGCGCCTGTGCAGCTAAAGCGGCCTGTTCCTGCGCCGTAATCGTAGCCGTAGCTTCATTCCCGTGCGTTGGAGTCCTAGTCCTAGCGGCTTCTTCTGCAGCTCGAACCATTGCTTCTTCCATCGATGATGTCACAGGACTAGCGTCGTCGTAGGAATCAGGGACTATTTCGCTAAATCGTTCTTCTGTGGTCACTTCTTGAACAGTCAACGATCCTTTCGTCTGTTTCGTACAATTTCCTATCGAAGGTCCGGCTCCAACTGTAGGTCCGGCTCCAGATACCGCGCGATCCACTGTAGATCTGCGTACGGAGAGCCTGCTAAGCTCGTAATCGTCTCGAGCGTAGTTAGCTATCGCAGGAGGTAACGAAACTTGTGAAAACAGTGATCTTGCAGAAGTAAATCCTGGAAATTGTGGTCCAATCACGGTAACTTTTTTATCAGCGTGTAACGGTAACGTATTCTTCTGAATTGCGACGACCTCCGGCGACCTGAGCGCTGAAGATCGCTTCAAATCTAAACGATCGTCGGACATGAACTTCGAGCTCGGCTAATCTCCGAATCAGAACGATGCTCTCAAACTAGAAAAACGGGTAGAAAGCTGCAAGCTCGGTTCGACCGACCTAACTAATCTTGAGTAGTAAAAATCACTGAGTACTAGGCGAGACACGTGTAGGTAAACGCAGTGTATTAAAGGCAGATTACAAGAGGTTCAGAAATCGAACGCGCGTTTCGACTTTTTGGGCCTTCATCGGCGTTTCCGAATCCTACTAAACTTGCCTTCTACCTAACATCCACTACTTGTACCTAGCAGTTCCGTGTCTCGTAAGAAACCTAGCACAAAGATTCAGACATTGCACACAACATTGCTTGGCGCCTCGTCTGTCTTGATGGGTCGCGCTTCGTCCGTCTTGATGGGTCGCGCTTCCAAACAGTAAAGCTGGCAAGTAAGTTTCGTCTTGTCATGCAGCGGTTACCCACCTGGCAGAGAAATTGAATCACATTGCTACCTTGAGGAGAATCTCGCTTTAACCAAAAAGTTCTGTAACTTTTTTGGTAACTTCCAAGCGAGTAAAAAACGAGGAAAAGGGAGATCATATGATACGAGCTGGTTTTTGAGAATTCTCAAAAACCAGCTCGTAGCATATGGTCATGGTTCATGGATACTGTGACGCTGATGCTCATACAGACTGCCGCGGCACTGATGGGTCCTTGCATGCCATGCCATGATGCCACCACGCACACACCCCTGTCCCAGTGCAGCACAACAGAAACCAAATCCTAGCGCCAGCACATGGGGTGGCTGGGTCCAATGCAATGATTCTCTCTCGTGGTCCCACTCATGTGCTCAGATTTCACAGTAAGGGATCAGGTTGGTTGGGATCGAGGTAGCGGCGGAGCAGGTACCTGAGGGCCATGCGGCATCATTGAAGGCAGGCAGGTGCCATCCTGCCGGCGGCGCACTCATAGACGCGTCGTTGAAGCGCCACACCGTGCCCTCCGGGAGCAGCGAGCGGTACGTTGAGCGGATGCACGGCAAGGCGAGCGCAGGCGCGGAGGACGAGGAGGAGGAGGAGGAGGCATCGGAGGGAGGGGCGGGGCAGTCGTTGACTCCAAGGCGGGAGAGCGAGAGGTCGAAGGCGGCATCTCCGGACCAGAGGTAGGCCTGGTGTAGCTCTGCTGCCACCCAGTTGATGCCCGGCTGTCAAGGGAATGAGTGAGTGGGTGAGGTAATGGGAACGGACGCAGTCAAGGGAGGGCGAGAGCTGAGAAGACACCGAGAAGCGTGGCCGTTGCTGCGATCGTGAGTTGCCCAACCACGCCTAGCTACTTTCCACACAAACATTTGCCGCATTGACTTTTGAGTCGACTCAACATTTGCAACATCTCTCCAGGATCAAACAGCCCACCAACCCACCAACCAGATCATGAACCCACCAGCTAGTCGACCCAGCAGCAATGAACCCACCTTGCTCCAAGCAGACATGTTGCGACCATAGCACGCCCCCCCGCACGAGTAGTACGAGTCCTTGTTGTTGCCGTTGCTCGGGTCTGTCTGCGTGACGCCCGCGGCGGCGGTGGTGTGAGAGATGGGCCCTGACCCGGGCATGTTGGTGCGAAACATCTCGTTGCCATTCAGATACACCACCGCCCCGTCATCCCTCCGCACACTCACGTCTGGATGGGGGGAGGGGGAGAGGGTGAGGAGGGGGGGAGAGGGGCAAGGGGGTTTGGAGGAAAGGAAATGGGGGAGGGGAGAGGGTGGTGCGGAACATCTCGTTGCCGTTCAGATACACCACCGCCCCGTCATCCCTCCGCACACTCACGTCTGGTGGGGGAGGGGAGGGGAGAGAGGCAAAAGGGAAAGGGGAGGGGGAAGTGTGGAGGGGGGATGGGGCAATGAGGAGGGGCGAGGGAGGGGAGGGGGGAGGGAGGAAGAGAGGGAGGGACGAGAAAGAGAGGGTGATGGAAGCACGGAGGGTGATGGAAGCACGGAGGGTGATGGAAGCACGGAGGGTGATGGAAGCACGGAGGGTGATGGAAGCACGGAGGGTGATGGAAGCACGGAGGGTGATGGAAGCACGGAGGGTGATGGAAGCACGGATGGGCACGGATGGACACTGGAGCGCATATGGCGAGTGCTTCAGATCCTCCTAATCTGGGCACAAGCACATGGCACAGTGGATCACAAGCACATGGCACAGTGGATCTCGTCTTGCTGTCACTGTCATAATCGCACACATGTCCTTGACACAACTCCAGGACGTGCTCCTAATGCCCTCAGAACTTGGGCGTCATGCCATGGATGATGTTAGGCATGGGGCGCTGTTGCTAACACACTCTAAAAGTCTGCTCCCCAAGTCAACAAGCCGGAATCCGAGTCTGAGTAAGCAACAAAACTCACAGTGGATCAATCAGTAAAGTCGCGAATGAAGCAAAGGCCACACCAGCTGTACTTCACACATGCACACACGGCAAGCGCCCATGCCATGCTATGCCTCTCTTCTACCTGCGCTCCCCTGTGCTTTGAGCCTGAAGTTGAGTCAAAGGCGGTCCGACAGGCTACTTCTGCCCCTACCACAACATACCAAGTGCACATGTGTTCCCCAGCGGAGCTGTGGACTTGTGCCGTGGCGTGGCGTTTGTGGCGACCCAACAAGCATGTGACGTGCCTCTTGCGTTTGCTTCATGAAGGACGTGTGCTGTGCTGCTCATGACCGTGTGCACTGCTAAAAGAATGCGGTGCTCACCATAGCTGTAGCTACTGGCAGCCTCCTCGGTCGTGAGGTTGAATGCCTTGTTGCAAACCCACCAGAGCTGTGCACGTGCGAGGCAGCTCATAACGTGTGCTGCTCAGTGCTCACCGTAGCTGTAGGTGCTGGCGGCCTGCTCGGCCGTGAGGTTGAATGCCTTCAGGAAGTAGAAGGTCCAAAAAACGCCCACGCTTTTGGCAAGCCTTGTTGCAAACCCACCAGAGCTGTGCAATTGCGAGGCAGCTCATAACGTGTGCTCTGCTCACCGTAGCTGTAGGTGCTGGCGGCCTGCTTGGCTTTTGAGGCGCCTCAAAAGCCGCTGCTAAATAAAATAATGCGCTGCTCACCATAGCTGTAGGTGCTGGCGGCCTGCTCAGCCGTGAGGTTGAAAGCCTTGAGGAAGTAGAAGGTCCAGAAGCTGCCCGCGCTGTTGGCAAGCATCGTTGCAAACCCCGCTGCAGCCTCCGCGCTGTAGACGTTGACGCCAAAGGGGGCCTTGCCTGCCTTCATCACCCCTGCCGGGATGCCAGAGCTGCGCACCAGGATCATTATGGGAGACGATGGATCGAGGGCAATGAGGAGGGCATGAGGGGAGGAGGTGAGAGGGAAGGGGGGGGATTAGGGGAGGGATGAGAGGAGGGGATGAGGGGATGGGGCGAGAGGGAGGGGATGCGGAGAGGGGATGCGTTGATCTCTGAATCGAATCAAAAAGCCGCCGCGCTGTAGGCGTTGCAGCCAAAGGGCGCCTTCATCACTCCTGCCGGGATGCCAGAGCTGCGCGCCAGGCTCGCCGCAGGGGATGAGATCAGATGATGGATTGGAGCAGGGGCGATGGGACGGGGATGATGGGAGGGAATGAGAGAGGGAGGTGACAGAGGAGGGGAAGTGAGGGAGTGGATGAGAGGGAGGAAGGAGACAGAGGGAGGAGACGAAAAGTAGGGGATACATGTATGTGCAGACCTTGACATCACCCATGTATATCACATTCTCCTCAACCAACCCCCTTCCCCCCCCTTCTCCCCCCTTCTTTCCCTTTCTCCCCTTTTTCCTCCTCTTTCCCACTCACTTGATCTTCCACGACGGGTACAGCGATGGCACGTTGGCTCCCTGGTCAGCAAACAGCCAGCCAGTCTCGCTGCCCTTCACCACCACAGACGCCCCCACGTGTGGCACAACGGCCCTGCATGAGCCGTTGAAGCACGCTGATCCATCGGGGCAGGGGGAGGCCCCCAGACGGTTGTCCACCAGCCCGTCACACTCATCGTCCAGCCCGTTGCAACTGACGGAGAGGAGGGGGGGAGGGGGGGAAGGGAGGGAAGGGGGAAAAGGGGGAAGGGGGGAATGGGGAAGGAGGGAAGGGGGGAAGTGGGGAAGGGGGGAAGGGGGGAAGGGAGGAGCGGAGGAGAATGGGTGGTGGGTGGGTTCATTCATGGGGAGGTGGGGGAGTGGAACGTGGGAAATGAAGTGGGCGAGTTGAGGAAGGACGCAGCACAGATTTCCATGTACTCTACCGGGTTGTGACAGTCTCTGTCCATGCAACTGCAGGCTCAGAACAAGACAGGAGACACATGCACGCATGCACGCACGCACCCACCCACCCATGCACCCGCTCACCCACCCAGCCGCGCACCCACTCACACACCCACCCACTCACACACCCACCCACTCACACACCCACCCACTCACACACCCACCCACTCACACACCCACCCACTCACACACCCACCCACTCACACACCCACCCACTCACACACCCACCCACTCACACACCCACCCACGCACCCACTCACGCATGCACGCATGCAAGCACGCACCTTTCGGCGGCGGGTTGTTTAGCAGAGCAAGGGGAGAGGGCGCCGTCAACACAGGTCATGACGCCGACACCACAGGCGCTGGCGCACGGCACTGTGATGGGCTTCTTGGTCGGCCCTATGTCTACCTTGCCTGGTGGTTGGTTGCCGGGCGGGGTGGGGTGGGGTGGGGTGGGGTGAAGTGGCGAGAGAGGGAGGAGGGGAGGGGAAACACTTTTGGAATTGGCTTCAACAGAGCGTAGAGCCGACACCACAGGCGCTGGCGCACGGCACTGTGATGGGCTTCTTGGTGGGCCCTATGTCCACCTTGCCTGGTGGTTGGTTGCCGGGTGGGGTGGGGTGGGGTGGGGTGGGGTGAAGTGGCGAGAGAGGGAGGCGGGGAGGGGAAACACTTTTGGAATTGGCTTCAACAGAGCGTAGAGCCGACACCACAGGCACTGGCGCACGGCACTGTGATGGGCTTCTTGGTGGGCCCTATGTCCACCTTGCCTGGTGGTTGGTTGCCGGGTGGGGTGGGGAGAAAGGGGGAGGAAGGGAGGCGGGGAAGGGGGGCGCTTTTAAGAATTTAGGAAATTGGCTTCAACAAAGCATAGTGCCGACCCAACAGGAATGCAGCACGGCACTGTGATGGGCTTCTTGGTGGGCCCTATGTCCACCTTGCCTGGTGGTTGGCCGTGAGGGTGGGGGGAAAGGACGGGGGGCAGGCGGGAGTGGGAGAGGACGGAGAACGGTTAGGGAGAAAGAGGCACAGTGAGTATGATAAGCGAGAAAAGAGCATGGGATAAGGGGGTGCAGAAGGGGGTGAGGAGGTAGAGAGCAATGATGGGTGAGGGAATGGACAAGGGCGGGCTGTGGAAGAAACAGGAGGGCAGAAGGGAGGGGCAGAGGAGTAAGGAGGTTGAGAAAGAAAGGGTAGTGCATTGATGCTGCATGCATGGGTATAAATGGAGGTGGCGTGGCAAGAAAGCAAGCATGTGTTGCAGCGAATGTGGCCTTTCCTTCGTGTAGGATGGTAGATATATATACGTAAGGAGCATCCCTATTCCAGTACATGAGTGGCATGCAACATGTAAACCCTAAACATCCTTTTTTTCTGTCACTCACCGTCGCCGTCGTTGTCAAGCCCATCGCATACTTCTGGCCGCATTGCCTTGCCTTTGCACTTAGGGTCACTGCACGCATGCGCACACACACACATATGCACATACGCACACACACGCATACATATGCACACACACGCACACACATATGCACACACATGCACACACGCATGCACACACACGCACACACATATTCACACACACGCACGCACATATACACACACACGCACACATGTGCAGATGCATGCATACAGGCACACACATATGTGGCCACACCAGACACACACACAAATTGGCACAGATTAGAACCCCACCCCCATATCATCCACCACACAGCAAGACGAGACGAGGCACATGCATCCAAGCTGCAAGGAAAGGCAAGGCATCGAGCAGAAGGGCATGAAAGAAGCAAGCAAAGAATCAAACATCAGCAAAACACAGCCAACACTTCAAGGCGCATGAAAAAGCAGCGACTTCGAATCCGGACAGAGGTACAGATTGGCACAGGGAGCATGGCAGGTGGAGAACGAGGGCGAACATAGATTAAGTAATGACGACAGACGGGGCGAGAGAGGAAGAAGGTGTGAAAGTTGTATGTAAGTGTGTGCATGCGCGGGTGCAGGGATGCATGTGTGGGTGTTTGCGTGGGTGCGTCCGAGCGTGCGTGTATGCAGGTGGGTGGGTGCGAGTGCATGGGTGAGGGAGTGTGAGAGAGCAGGGCAGGGAACGCACGGCAGCTGAGCAGAGACGCGCAAGTCAAAGGCGACCTCCCACGCGTAGGTCTGAAACGCGTGCACCTGCACTGCCACGAAGTTGACTCCTTCCACCAGGCTCACTGCCCCCGCTGGCGCTGCTGCCCCTGTAGCTGTCACCAGCGGCACTGTGAACGTCGTGTAGGGGATTGGTACCTTGGTGAGAGGCTCTAGGTTTGATAGCGCCTGGTGGGAAGAAGAGGAAGGGGGGGGAGGAGGGAGGGAAGGGGAGGGAGGGAGAGGGAGAGGTGAGTGAAATAGTGTGGATATAGCAAGAGATGGGAGAAATGACGAGGTGGAGGTGCATGGGTAGGATACGAGGAGCCGCGGTAGCGCACGGTGTGCGTAGCCACCATACCATCGCCGCGGTAGCGCACGGTGTACCATCGCTAGTCAAACCACCATATCAAATCCCATGCACCCGCGTAGGTCCCATCCATTCCCATCCCAGCCTTAACATCTCCCCCACCACGATGACAGTTGAGCTTCTTGGCACAGAATTCACCTCCATTCCACAAGGTTGATTCATCCCTCAACACTTCTTGCTCCGCGCACCCCACACCCAGTCTCGTTCCGCACCCCACAGCAGGTTGGTGTTTAGAGAGCGAGGGAGGCACGCACAAGGGAGGTGTTAGTGAGCGGCCCATCAGGCAGGTTGGTGCGGAAAGCCTCGACTCCGTTGATGTACACAACGGCGCCATCGCTGACCAGCAGGTCCATGCGCAGAGCCGTGTAGCACTTGGTGTTGGTGACGGTGAAGTTGGTGCGGAAATAGTACACCACGCGCGAGGGAGACACCGGGGCGAGCACTGTTGCTATGGCGGGATTGTCCCCTGAGGGTGGGGGATGACGGGAGGGGGCGGGCGGGGGATGGAATGGGAAGGAGAGAAGGGAGTGCGAGGGGGCGGGAGGTGCGTTTTGAGTCGACTCAAAAGTCACCGTCGCTGACCAGCAGGTCCATGCGCAGCGCCGTGTAGCACTTGGTGTTGGTCACGGTGAAGTTGGTGCGGAAATAGTACACCACGCGCGAGGGGGAGACTGGGGCGAGCACTGTTGCTATGGCGGGATTGTCCCCTGGGGGATGGGCGAGGATGGGAGGAGCAGGCATGGGAGGGAGTGGGAGGGAGTGGGAGGGAGTGGGAAGGGGTGAGAGGGAGTGCTGCTGATTTGGACAAGGTGATTTGAGGAGAGAAGGTGGACCATGGGGATGTGACCACACCACCATGCGGCAATGGAAGAATGAAGCCATCAGTTGGGGAAATATTTATGTGAGATAAAAGTGGCCTTGGAAATAACTATGTGCGGTTTTTGAATCAACTCAAACGTGGCCTTGGATTTGTGCACGGAGGGAGACAGCCGAGAGCCAAGGACAGGTCTCTGGTTGAGGAGGAAAGGGCTTCAAAGGACTGGAGTGGATGCAGCACGACAGGATTACTATCTCGAAGAGGAGACGTGCTGTGCAAATCAGCCAGCTAACTACTACAGTTGCAGCGTACCACTGAGGCGCAGTTGAGGCGCCTCAGAACTAAGGTACGAACAGTTGGCATACCAGCCCAGCCAGAGGGCCCTTGCCGCTGCCTCGAAAAGGCAACATGCAAATGAACGCAGAGGTGGAGTGGAGGTCACAGGGCAGGGCAGGAGCGCTGCTACGTACAGTTGGCATACCAGCCCAGCGGGCCCTTGCCGCTGCGCCATGTGCCGGGGGGGTCGATGGAGCGGGGCAGGGAGGGGGTCTTCTTGGGGCCGGTGACAGGCGGGGTGAGCAGGGGCGTGGGCGAGAAGAAGGTGCGTGCACCGGAGTAGGGGCGCGGGAAGAAGTCCAGCCCCGAGTCGTCGTACAGCCACTCGCTGCCTGCGAACAGGATGCTGCGCTGCTGGGTTAACCTGGGGGGGGTGAGTAGGCACGGCACGGCATGGCATGTAAGCAATGGCATGGCCGGAGTAGGGTGGGAAGAATTCGAGCCCTGAGTCGTCGTACAGCCACTCACTGCCTGCGAATAGGATGCTGCGCTGCTGCAATAGCCTGGTGGGGGTGGGTGGACCCGGTAGGGTTGGGGGTTGGGGGGTTTAGAGGTTAGGGTTATTCTGGGCTGGGCTGGGATGGCGTGGGAAGAAGTCGAGCCCCGAGTCGTCGTACAGCCACTCGCTGCCCGCGAACAGGAAGCTGCGCTGCTGTGATAGCCTGGTGGGGATGGGTGGGTTCGGTGGGGTTGAGGGTTGGGGGGTTTAGGGGTTAGGGTGATGGTGGGCTGGGCTGGGATGGCGTGGGAAGAAGTCGAGCCCCGAGTCGTCGTACAGCCAATCGCTGCCTGCGAATAGGATGCTGCGCTGCTGGGTTAACCTGGTGGGGGGGGGTGAGTAGGCACGGCACGGCATGGCATGGCATGAAAGGTTTGGCATGGCCGGAGTAGGGCGGGAAGAAATCGAGCCCCAAATTGTTGTATAGCCACTCGCTGCCTGCGAATAGGATGCTGCGCTGCTGGGTTAACCTGCTGGGGGTGATTTGAGGTTTGATGGGGGTTTGGGTACTTGAGAGTATAGGTGGTGATGGGATGGGATGGGATGGGATGGGATGGGATGGGATGGGATGGAAGAAAGGTATGGCATGGCGCACTAACGCGGAGAAAAACAATCAAGCAGGAGCACTTACACGAACGTGTTTGTCTGCCACATGCAGATGCACATGCCTGGGGACATACACTGCTGGTGGGTGGACTTAAGAAGCGGCTCACATGAAGGTAGATGTGCAGGAGGAGGCAGCAGCCGTGTCAGCGATGGGGATGAGGTAGGCGATATCGGAGAAGTTTCCTCCCATGGTGAGGGTGAGCGCGGGCACAGGTGCAATGGACGCACAGGCAAAGCTGTAGAGCGCTCTGTTGCCCGGGATAGGGTTGCCTGGTATGGGCCTGGTGGGTTGGGGAGATGGAGTGACACAGATGGACATGCATACATGCATACATCAGTGCATAAGAACACATGCACATCCATATCCCACAGACTCACATGCACATGCACACACGCTGCACTCCCAGCCCCTAAGCCCATTCACCAGACTACCACACACACACAAAATACCCTCCCACTCGACTCAATCAAGCTCCTCTCTTCCACAGTCCACCCACCAACCCACCCTTCCCGGCCTCCCTCAACCCCTCTCCCCAGTGCACTCACAGCGCACCCACGGAGCTGGACCCCTTGCCCACCAGCAGCTGACGCATCACCCCCGTGCCCCCACCAAACACCCACCCAATGGACTCAATTACCTCCCTCGTCCCCCTCTTCCGAAACCCCCCTTCCCATGCCCCCACCACCTCCTCTCCCCAGTGCACTCACAGCGCACCCACGGAGCTGGACTCCTTGCCCACCAGCAGCTGCCGTGTCACCCCTGTGCCCATTACCGAACTCCCACTGACAGGATACCTTGCCAGTCGACTCAATCACCACTCTTAACCAGCAAACCCTTCTCTCCCCCCGCGCACTCACAGTGCACCCACGGAGCTGGATTCCTTGCCCACCAGCAGCTGCCGTGTCACCCCTGTCCCCCCGTGCCCCAGCGGCAGCACACGCAGGGTGAGCCCCTGCCCACAGCTGATGCCGTCCTGGAACGCCGCGGTGATGTAGGAGGGCACCCAGGCGGAGCCGTTGGGGGAGCGGATGGTGATCTCGTACGTCATGCCTGGAGGGAGAGGAGGGGAGATGGGGTTGGAGGGGCTTGATAAGCCGTTTGGAAATCCGCGGTGAGGTAGGAGGGCACTCAGGTGGAACCGTTAGGAGAACGGGTGGTGATCTCGTACGTCATGCCTGGGAGAAGAGGAAGGGGAGAGAGAAGGTGCGGGGGAGAAGGGGGGGACGGAGGGGTGGAAGCTGGTTGGGCACTGCAGCTGACGCCGTCCTGGAGCGCTGCCGTGATGTAGGAGGGCATCCAGGTGGAACCATTGGGGGAGCGGATGGTGATCTCGTACGTCATGCCTGGAGAGGAGGGAGGGGAGAGATAAGGTACAGGGGAGAAGGGGGGGATGGAGGGGAGAGTGGAAGTTGGTTGCGCACTCCAGCTGATGCCGTCCTGGAGCACTGCAGTGATGTAGGGCATCCAGGTGGAGCCGTTGCGGATTGTGATCTCGTGCGTCATGCCTGGAGAGGAGGGAGGAAGTGGGGAGGTTGGGGGGAGGGTGAGGTGAGGATGAGGGGCAGGGGAAAGCCTTTGGGCCTCAGAAGCTGCTGCCATCCTGGAACGCGCGGTGATGTAGGCGGGCATCCAGGTGGAGCCATTGGGGGAGCGGATGGTGATCTCGTACGTCATGCCTGGGAGGGGAAGGGGTTTGGGGGTGGGGGAGAGAGGGGGGAGGAGTAAGGGTGTGGGGTTGGCCTTTTGGGCGCCTCAGAAGCCGTGCCTGGGAGAGGATGGGGGAGAGACGTGTGGGAGAGAAGAGGGGGAAAGAGTGGGGGGTGGTGTGAGTTATTGGTGTGGTGATTTATGTAGGAGGGCACCCAGGTGGGGCTCGTAGGGGAGCGGATGGTGATGTCGTACGTCATGCCTGGGAGAGGAGGGCTGGGGAAGGTGGAAGGCAGGGAGGATGGGGGGGGCAGTACAGGTGTTGCCAACTTGGGAAGGAGGATGTGGGAGCGTGAAGGAGGTGCAGGTGAAAGGCGTAATGAGGTGGTGGGAGGAGTTGAGAGCGGTGTGCGAATACGAGATACAGGGGGTAGGGTGAGTGGGAATGGGCATGGGCAAGGTGGTGACACAAGCGCACCTGCAAGTAAGTTGGGATAGAAGTATCGGAGCGTAGTGTCGTGCACGTTCATGTAGCGCACGTTGAGATTGCCGTCCAGGGCAAACGATGCCTTGTCCTCCACTCTCACTATCTCCAAGTAGCTGAGAGGACGGGATGCGAGCGGGAGAGGGAAGGGCAAGGGAGGGGGAAGAGAGGGAAAACGAAGAGAGGGTGGGGGAGAAAGAACAGGGGGAAGCGATTGGTAAAGGGATTGGTGAAGGGATTGGTGAAGGGATTGGTGAAGGGATTGGTGAAGGGATTGGTGAAGGGATTGGTGAAGGGATTGGTGAAGGGATTGGTGAAGCGATTGGTGAAGGGATTGGTGAAGGGATTGGTGAAGGGATTGGTGAAGGGATTGGTGAAGGGATTGGTGAAGGGATTGTTGAAGGGATTGGTGAAGGGATTGGTGAAGGTGCAGCGCACATATTTTACCGCGACATATGTGATGCGCCTATTTTCGAGTCGACTTAGAAAGTGGTCGTAAAGTGCAGCGCAGAGATTGTACTGCGACACACATATGAGATGCATGCTCATCAGCGACAACAACAGTCATTTGAATCACAACACGCCCCTTAATGGAAACAGACACGCAGGCAAACACACGTCCACTCACTCACACACCAGCACAGGCATGTAGACGCGCGTGCGTGCGCGCGCACACATGCACGTACATCCCCCCCCCCCCCCCCACACACACACACTCACATACTCACATGCACCCACACCCTCACATCCACCTTCACCTGCACACACCCACTCACACACACACCCACCCCCCCATTCCCCCCCTACACACGCACCTGAAGGAGCCTCTCTTCCGGGGGTCAGGCGAGTCATTGATGGGCGAGAAGCCCGGCTCAAAGTACGAGATGGCCACGCTGCGGTAGCACGCCTTGGGGCAAGCATACCCGTTCCACGCCTTCATGGGCGTGCACACTGGCGCTCCCTTGATCTTTGCGGGCGGTAGCAGGAAGGAGACGTTGGCGATGGCGTAGCCGCCCTCTTTGAGAGAGCCGGGGGCTGTGCCGGTGAGCGAGCCGTCTGTGTCCCGCAGCATGAGGAACGGGGACACTGCGCCTGTTGCTATGGTGGACCCGCCCTGGGGGGAAAGAACGAGGGAAGGCGGGGAGAAGGGAAGGGTAGGGTGTGAGGAGGAGAGTGGGGCACACATACCCGTTCCCGCCTTCATCGGTGCGAACACGGGCGCTCCCTTGAGCCTGGCGGGCAGTAAGAGGAAGGACACGTTGGCGTTGGCGCCCTCTTTGACGGAACCGGGGGCTGCGACGATGAGCGAGCCGTCTGTGTCCCGCAGCATGAGGAACGGGGACACTGCGCCTGTTGCTATGGTGGACCCGCCCTGGGGGGAGGAAGGGGGAGGATGGGGGGGAGAATGTGATTTTTTTAGTCGAATCTCGACAATTGCAGTGCTGGTGAGCGAGTCGTTTGTGTCTCGCAGCATGAAGAACGGGGAGACTGCGCCTGTTGCTATGGTGGACCCGCCCTGAGGGGGAGAGAACGAGAATCATGAGGAAGGGGGAGCGACTCTCGACAATTGCAGTGCCGATGAGCGAGCCGTCTATGTTTCGAATCATGAGGAAGGGGGAGACTGTGCCTGGTGGAGCCGCCTTGGGGGAGGAGAGGGGGGAAGAGAAGGGGGTGTGAAAAGAGGGGAGATGAGGAGAGGGGAGGGGGTGAGGCAGGTATAGGAGGTTGATGCACGGGTGCATGGTGAATGGTGCATGGTACACGGTGCATTGTCCATGGTACACAGTTCATGCATGGATGCATGGTATATGGAGTGGACTTGTGCTGTGATGCACAGGCAACGCAGGCATCAAAAGACAGGCAGATATGGAAGGAAGAGGCCTTCAGAGCATTGGAGTGAAGTGGAGTGAAGCGGAGTGAAGTGGAGTGAAGTGGAGTGAAATAGAGTGAAGTGGAGTGCAGTGCAGCGAAGTGCAGTGAAGTGGAGTGTAAGTGAAGTACTGACGAGGTAGGGGAAGGTGTCTCCAGGTATCCACATGCGGTTGGCTGCCTTGAAGCTCACGTTCTGATGGTGGGTGCATGCATGCAGCACATTGGTGTGATGGGAGATCAAGGAGATGTTTGAAAAGCGGGAAAGCGGACTGAGAAGAGAGAGGAGAGAGAGAGGGAAAAGGAGAGGGCGAGTGAGGAGATCGGAGAAGGGATGTAGGAGAGGATAAAGAAGAGAGCCAAGATAAATTCCTTTGCCCTTTCCTTACCCTAACGCGGGACGCCTTGAGAATCCTCCTCTCGTGGTCCACCATCACACCCTCGCCTTCTGCCCTTCTCGCCAGACCTCACCCCATGCACACTTGCCACCAAAGCACGCGTGCCTCAATCCCTCGGCACACATGCTTCCGTCCCCTCTCCTGCCAGCCACCCACCCTATTACCCTGCACACCCTGCCAGCCACCCACCCTATTACCCCGCACACCCTGCCTGTCCACGCCCCTCAGCACGCTCACACGGACAGCCTGGCCGGCGTTCCAGTAGTCCTTGTAGAGGGGCGAGAGGCCCAGGGCGAACCCAGCAGCCGGGCGACACGTGGCATCGAAGTTGAAGAAGCTGGGCGCGTGATGGGGAGATGGGGGGGGGGGGGGAGGAGACGGGCAGAGCGCACACATACACGCACAGTACCACATGCATTAGAAACGAGTACCAGCACCCGCAGCAAAGCAACCAAACCGACCGAGCCCTAACGAATCCAAGCAAGCAAGCAACCCAGGCAGCCAAGCAAGCGCGCAGGCAGCAGCAGCAGCTCACGTGGTGTTGGCGACAAGAGCAGCAGTTTCCCCGCCCTCTGTGAAGTTGCGCTGGTCATAAACAATCCCAAACAGCGGGAACGGGAAGCGGTTACCGCCTGTCGACCTGCCCTGCTGATCGCTCGTCAACGGTAGCCTGGCGGGCGGCAAGGGGGATGGGTTGCGGGTGAGGAAGGGGGAGGGGAAGAGGTAGAGGAGAAGTGGTTATAACAGGCGCAAGGGGTAGGGAGAAGAAGCGGAAGGAAGAGATGTAGTTGGTTACAAAGAGAGGGAACGGGAAGCGGTACCCGCCTGTGGACCTGCCCTGCTGGTCGCTCATGAGCGGTAGCCTGGGGGAGCGGTGGGGATGGACGGTGGGGGGGGGGAGGGCGGGAAGAAAAGAAGCAGCAGAATGCTATGCGAGGCAATATTACCCACAGTGCTTTGATGGATCTGCAAGCACGCAGCAGTACCAAGTCACTTGCAGTGCAGCAGGTGATGTGCGCACAGTCCCAGCTGCAATGCGCAACCCTTGGTCGTTCGTTAGAGAAAGTCGGACATTCGACCGTCTGTCTAACAACACCTCTACTCTGATCAGGAAATCCCCAGGCCCTCACTTGCATTGTACTGCACGCAGTGATCGGAGTGCAGCGCAATACCAACAGGGCTGTGTAGTCCTGAGTGGCTACAGACAGGCTACAGTCCAGACTGGAATTGGGTCGTTGTTGCCAAACAACCCTCCAACTCCAGCTGAGACAACCCTCAGCCTCAGGCAGGCGGGCACTCGCTTGCAGCCGGCGATGGGCGTGCAGCGCTGTCCTCAGTGGCAACAGACTGGTATTGGGTCGTCTGTGAAACAACCCACCAACTCCAGTCTGAGACAACCGTCAGCCTCAGGCACGCACTCACTTGCAGCCGGCGATGGGAGCGCAGTACCACGGCTGAGCGTAGGTGCACCCCTGCGGCGTGCCGTAGTTGTTGGAAAGCACTTGTGAGTTGACTCACAAGTCACCTCACGCACTCACTTGCAGCCGGCGATGGGAGCGCAGTACCACGGCTGAGCGTAGGTGCACCCCTGCGGCGTGCCGTAGTTGTTGGAAAGCACTTGTGAGTTGACTCACAAGTCACCTCACGCACTCACTTGCAGCCGGCGATGGGAGCGCAGTACCACGGCTGAGCGTAGGTGCACCCCTGCGGCGTGCCGTAGTTGTTGGAAAGCACTTGTGAGTTGACTCACAAGTCACCTCACGCACTCACTTGCAGCCGGCGATGGGAGCGCAGTACCACGGCTGAGCGTAGGTGCACCCCTGCGGCGTGCCGTAGTTGTTGGAAAGCACTTGTGAGTTGACTCACAAGTCACCTCACGCACTCACTTGCAGCCGGCGATGGGAGCGCAGTACCACGGCTGAGCGTAGGTGCACCCCTGCGGCGTGCCGTAGTTGTTGGAAAGCACTTGTGAGTTGACTCACAAGTCACCTCACGCACTCACTTGCAGCCGGCGATGGGAGCGCAGTACCACGGCTGAGCGTAGGTGCACCCCTGCGGCGTGCCGTAGTTGTTGGAAAGCACTTGTGAGTTGACTCACAAGTCACCTCACGCACTCACTTGCAGCCGGCGATGGGAGCGCAGTACCACGGCTGAGCGTAGGTGCACCCCTGCGGCGTGCCGTAGTTGTTGGAAAGCACTTGTGAGTTGACTCACAAGTCACCTCACGCACTCACTTGCAGCCGGCGATGGGAGCGCAGTACCACGGCTGAGCGTAGGTGCACCCCTGCGGCGTGCCGTAGTTGTTGGAAAGCACTTGTGAGTTGACTCACAAGTCACCTCACGCACTCACTTGCAGCCGGCGATGGGAGCGCAGTACCACGGCTGAGCGTAGGTGCACCCCTGCGGCGTGCCGTAGTTGTTGGAAAGCACTTGTGAGTTGACTCACAAGTCACCTCACGCACTCACTTGCAGCCGGCGATGGGAGCGCAGTACCACGGCTGAGCGTAGGTGCACCCCTGCGGCGTGCCGTAGTTGTTGGAAAGCACTTGTGAGTTGACTCACAAGTCACCTCACGCACTCACTTGCAGCCGGCGATGGGAGCGCAGTACCACGGCTGAGCGTAGGTGCACCCCTGCGGCGTGCCGTAGTTGTTGGAAAGCACTTGTGAGTTGACTCACAAGTCACCTCACGCACTCACTTGCAGCCGGCGATGGGAGCGCAGTACCACGGCTGAGCGTAGGTGCACCCCTGCGGCGTGCCGTAGTTGTTGGAAAGCACTTGTGAGTTGACTCACAAGTCACCTCACGCACTCACTTGCAGCCGGCGATGGGAGCGCAGTACCACGGCTGAGCGTAGGTGCACCCCTGCGGCGTGCCGTAGTTGTTGGAAAGCACTTGTGAGTTGACTCACAAGTCACCTCACGCACTCACTTGCAGCCGGCGATGGGAGCGCAGTACCACGGCTGAGCGTAGGTGCACCCCTGCGGCGTGCCGTAGTTGTTGGAAAGCACTTGTGAGTTGACTCACAAGTCACCTCACGCACTCACTTGCAGCCGGCGATGGGAGCGCAGTACCACGGCTGAGCGTAGGTGCACCCCTGCGGCGTGCCGTAGTTGTTGGAAAGCACTTGTGAGTTGACTCACAAGTCACCTCACGCACTCACTTGCAGCCGGCGATGGGAGCGCAGTACCACGGCTGAGCGTAGGTGCACCCCTGCGGCGTGCCGTAGTTGTTGGAAAGCACTTGTGAGTTGACTCACAAGTCACCTCACGCACTCACTTGCAGCCGGCGATGGGAGCGCAGTACCACGGCTGAGCGTAGGTGCACCCCTGCGGCGTGCCGTAGTTGTTGGAAAGCACTTGTGAGTTGACTCACAAGTCACCTCACGCACTCACTTGCAGCCGGCGATGGGAGCGCAGTACCACGGCTGAGCGTAGGTGCACCCCTGCGGCGTGCCGTAGTTGTTGGAAAGCACTTGTGAGTTGACTCACAAGTCACCTCACGCACTCACTTGCAGCCGGCGATGGGAGCGCAGTACCACGGCTGAGCGTAGGTGCACCCCTGCGGCGTGCCGTAGTTGTTGGAAAGCACTTGTGAGTTGACTCACAAGTCACCTCACGCACTCACTTGCAGCCGGCGATGGGAGCGCAGTACCACGGCTGAGCGTAGGTGCACCCCTGCGGCGTGCCGTAGTTGTTGGAAAGCACTTGTGAGTTGACTCACAAGTCACCTCACGCACTCACTTGCAGCCGGCGATGGGAGCGCAGTACCACGGCTGAGCGTAGGTGCACCCCTGCGGCGTGCCGTAGTTGTTGGAAAGCACTTGTGAGTTGACTCACAAGTCACCTCACGCACTCACTTGCAGCCGGCGATGGGCGCGCAGTCCCACGGCTGGGCGTAGGTGCATCCCTGCGGCGTGCCGTAGTTATTGGAGAGCCCCACGAAGCGGCACCCGTCCACGATGGCGTGCTGCGTCTCTGCGAGGTAGAGCGACCACTGGTTGTCCGCGAACACCGAGTCCTGCATCGTGAACGCGTCAAAAGTGTCCATGAGCGTGCTGGTGGTGGGGTGGGAGGGAGGAAGGGAAGGGACGGGAATGGGGGGGAAGGAGGGGGTGTTTTAAGGGAGTGTGCTGCGTCTCTGCGAGGTAGAGCGACCACTGGTTGTCCGCGAACACCGAGTCCTGCATCGTGAACGCGTCAAAAGTGTCCATGAGCGTGCTGGTGGTGGGGTGGGAGGGAGGAAGGGAAGGGACGGGAATGGGGGGGAAGGAGGGGGTGTTTTAAGGGAGTGTGCTGCGTCTCTGCGAGGTAGAGCGACCACTGGTTGTCCGCAAACACCGAGTCCTGCATCGTGAACGCGTCAAAAGTGTCCACGAGCGTGCTGGTGGTGGGGTGGGAGGGAGGAAGGGAAGGGACGGGAATGGGGGGGAAGGAGGGGGTGTTTTAAGGGAGTGTGCTGCGTCTCTGCGAGGTAGAGCGACCACTGGTTGTCCGCAAACACCGAGTCCTGCATCGTGAACGCGTCAAAAGTGTCCACGAGCGTGCTGGTGGTGGGGTGGGAGGGAGGAAGGGAAGGGACGGGAATGGGGGGGAAGGAGGGGGTGTTTTAAGGGAGTGTGCTGCGTCTCTGCGAGGTAGAGCGACCACTGGTTGTCCGCGAACACCGAGTCCTGCATCGTGAACGCGTCAAAAGTGTCCATGAGCGTGCTGGTGGTGGGGTGGGAGGGAGGAAGGGAAGGGACGGGAATGGGGGGGAAGGAGGGGGTGTTTTAAGGGAGTGTGCTGCGTCTCTGCGAGGTAGAGCGACCACTGGTTGTCCGCGAACACCGAGTCCTGCATCGTGAACGCGTCAAAAGTGTCCACGAGCGTGCTGGTGGTGGGGTGGGAGGGAGGAAGGGAAGGGACGGGAATGGGGGGGAAGGAGGGGGTGTTTTAAGGGAGTGTGCTGCGTCTCTGCGAGATAGAGCGACCACTGGTTGTCCGCGAACACCGAGTCCTGCATCGTGAACGCGTCAAAAGTGTCCATGAGCGTGCTGGTGGTGGGGTGGGAGGGAGGAAGGGAAGGGACGGGAATGTGGGGGAAGGAGGGGGTGTTTTAAGGGAGTGTGCTGCGTCTCTGCGAGGTAGAGCGACCACTGGTTGTCCGCGAACACCGAGTCCTGCATCGTGAACGCGTCAAAAGTGTCCATGAGCGTGCTGGTGGTGGGGTGGGAGGGAGGAAGGGAAGGGACGGGAATGGGGGGGAAGGAGGGGGTGTTTTAAGGGAGTGTGCTGCGTCTCTGCGAGGTAGAGCGACCACTGGTTGTCCGCGAACACCGAGTCCTGCATCGTGAACGCGTCAAAAGTGTCCATGAGCGTGCTGGTGGTGGGGTGGGAGGGAGGAAGGGAAGGGACGGGAATGGGGGGGAAGGAG